GATCTACTTTTCTGAACCCTAAACCCGAAACCCTAGACCCCAAACCCTAAACCCTAAACCCTAGACATCAGCGCCTTCAGGTAACTAGCAGTTGCCTCTCGTGGTGGTGCGTTCATGCAGGGGAAAACCATACTGCAAGCCAAAACTCCTACTTGCAGGTTCATGGGTTCCCCATAGTAGGGTTTAGGGTTTAGGGTTTAGGATTGCGGGTTTAGGGTCTAGAGTTTAGGGTTTAGGGTTTGGGGTTTGGGGTTTAGGGTAAGCATACGTATAGCTGCTTAAGACCTTGCGTGGTGTCTCGAGTCCTTACTTGGAAAATCCCGCGGACCTTCAAGTAGACCCTCGGTACGGCGCTCAGATGTTCCTTAGCAACTTCTGTTCAGGCGTTCTTGCAAGCGTCATTGGACCCTAAACCCTAAACCCCAAACCCTAAACCCTAAACCCTAAACCCTAAACCCTAAACCGATGATACGTGGGTTGTGTTGCCGCCGGAACTGTGAACAGAAGAGCTGCAATGCCACGGTGGCCGTCAAGCTTGTGCGTAGTCTCTACGGACACCCAGTAGCGGGGAAGCTGTGGCAAGAGCAGTATCACAACGCCTGCGGGCGATGGGAGGAGAGGAAACTCGCAGAGCACCCATCAGATTGGATCTTTGTGATCCAAGGGCGGACAATGCTGTTGAACGTCTACGTTGACGACTTCTAGCTGCACAAGTACAGTTGCTGCACATGATTTTCTAGGAATTGCTGAAGAACCACCAAAAAGCACCAATATTCTTCCTTCTCAGGGTAATATAGGGAATAGTTGATTGTAGGGGGTTCTTAAGCAAACAGTAGTTTAAGGAATCTTCCTGAGGAGAATTGGGCTCTCTGGGTACATGCGTGGGAACATGCTGCTGTGGCATTGTGCATCCAGTCTCCCAGTGGTCCAGGGCCATACTGTAAACCCTCCTATCCTAAGGCCTTATTGGAGGTACGTGGGTACTCGCAAGAAGGGTTATAGGAAGGCGCTCTTGAGACATCCGGGAAGAAGGGTTATAAGTACCTTAAATTTGGTTATAACCATCGTTACCCTACTTATACCCTTACTTGTAACTTATACCCTTACTTGTAAGCACCCATGAACCTCCCAGTAGACCTAAGCCACTCGGATTTCAGCGGTCAGGCAACACACACGGACTGCCATGTCATCCTCGAGGACCAAATGAAACCTAAAATGGTTCATGTGTTGGGATGTTCCCCCTTGTACTAGCAGTCCTTAATAGGGATTGTAGTGGTACCATTTTCCCTAGTAAGGATTGTTAGTATAAAGGGGAACATCCCAAGCTTTATGGTTCATAGACCATAGTAGGGATTTATTGTAGTATAGGGTATATGTCTATATGTCACCAATTGTGTGTTATTTATCGTAGTAGAGGGTATATGCCCCCCCCCCCCCCCCCCAATTTTGGGGTTGATTTGGTCCGCCAGAACTGCTTCCTCGAGGAAACCTGACAGCAGCGTCCATCAAGTAGTGGCTCTTGCAGAGAGTAAGCTAGGGTTTAGGGTTTAGGGTTTAGGGTTTAGGGTTTAGGGTTTAGGGTTTAGGGTTTAGGGACCCTAAACCCTTCAGTGAAGCTAGTTGCGAGGTCCGAGGCCTCGTCACTGCCGCGAGTGCAGATCCTCATCCTCGACACTCCATCGCCCGAGGCCGCATGTTTCAGGGCTTTGGGTGTATGGCTCATCTTGGGGTCGTTTCATGGGCCCTGAATATGGTCCCTTACCTCCTTAAAATGTTCTGAAGTATGGGCCCTTCATTTGTATAGAGAATACAAGGGGTACCTAAAGGGGTCCCTTGTCAGGGCCCATATGAAGGGACCATGTAACTACACTACAAGCTCAGCTGCAGAGCAGATTGGGGAGCTATGACGTAATGGGGGATTGCCCAGTGTATAGCAAAGTTAGTATAGGTGTCGGAATAATTACAAACAGGATTCCCTTATGGTCCCTCTATAAATATACTGCAATAACCCCCTAAACCCCATTCTAATTAGCAAGGCCCGTATGTTAGCCTGTAGACTCGTAGGCAGACAAGGGCACGGGCCTTATGTAGAGGTACAGGATTTGTTTAGGGAAGGTTTCAAGTGTTGTCTCTCGATTCTCCAAGCCCCACACCCGAAAATTCTAACCCCGCACCCCTAAACCCTAAACCCCAAACCCCAAACCCTAAACCCTAAACCCTAAACCCTAAACCCTAAACCCGAAACCCCAAACCCCAAACCCTAAACCCTAAACCCTAAACCCTAAACCCTAAGCCCTAAACCCTAAACCCTAAACCCTAAACCCTAAACCCTAAACCCTAAACCCTAAACCCTAAACCCTAAACCCTAAACCCTAAACCCTAAACCCTAAACCCTAAACCCAAATACATCCGCAGCAGGAATACACCGACCTCCCGGCCGTTCGTTTAGACCTGGCAGAGGTGCCTCAGGAGGGCCTGGCATGTGAAAGAATCTGCTGGGATGTCAGGGTTTAGGGTTTAGGGTTTAGGGGGTTTAGGGGGTTTAGGGTGTTTAGGGTGTTTAGGGTTTAGGGCCACAAGGGTTTGGGGTTTAGGGCTATTCGGGTTTCGGGTTTAGGGCTATCACGGTTTCTATACCCAAGTAGCCCCCCCCCCAAAAAAAAAAAAAAAAAAAAAGAAAAACAAAAGACTTTTTGTCTCCCCCAGACCTTACCTTGCCTTTAAGGTCCCTCCATCAGCTCCCTTACAGCATTCGTGTTTCTAGTTCGGCTTGACCTTGTATCTGGGGGACCATTGTCCTATATGAAGCAGGGTTTATACTACTGTTTTTGGTGAGTGTATATAAGGTTCCTTTTTTTAATATTGGTGAGTGTAGATATTGGGTGTCCTTTTGGGGGGTACAAGAAATATAAACCCTACTTCATATGCCTGCCTTGAAGGCTACAGTTCTTGCGGGGAAAATCCTGAACCCCAAGCCCGAAGTTACCAAACCCAACCCCCCCCATTGTCCGAACCCTAGAACTCGAACCCCAATTTGTGAAGCTGAGCTGCGCGGTCACAGAATGCGTGGTTTGGGGCTTAGGGTTGTTTAGGGCTTGGGGTCACGGTGGTGCCCTAAACCCTCAACCTCAACCAAACCCTAAGCCTACACCCAAAGGGGAAAGGCAAGCCAGAAGCCCAGTGCCTTTGAAGGACAAGCCTCCGGCTGTTGCAGCACCACCCGACGCCGAGGAGAGAGCCCTTGGTATCCCTTAAGCTCAGCGCTAAGGTCCCTGTAAACCCTACAGATCTACAGGCCCGCCAAAAGCCCTAAACCCGAAACCCCAAACCCTAAACCCGACACCCTACTAAACCCTAAACCCCAAACCTCCTAAACCCTAAACCTTTTAAACCCCAGAGACCGCTCTAACCTCGGCGGTCTTTGGATTGAAAAACCCTAAACCCTAAACCCTAAACCCTAAACCTTTTAAACCCCATAAAAAACCGAAGTCAGTGCCACGACCCGCGGTTCGCCAAGAACTCGGAGAGCACCCCGCCCACTAAACCCTAAACCCTCCTCAACCCTCAACTCTAAACCCTAAACCCCAAACCCTAAACCCTAAACCCTAAACCCTAAACCCTAGACCCTAAACCCTAAACCCTAACTCTCCCTCCCCCCATTATTCGCTGCTGTGGCGGGCCTGCGAGCCGCCCTCTCCTCTCTAAACCCTAAACCCTAAACCCTAAACCCTAAATCCAAGGCGCGGACTCTCTACGAGAGCCTCTCAGCCCAGGGAGCCATCTTGCTAGAGTTTAGGGTTTCGGACTTGGAATTTAGGGTTTAGGGTTTTGAATTTAGGGTTCAAAGTTTAGGGGTTAGGCTTTAGGGCTCAGGGTTTGAGGCTTAGGGTTTAGGGTTCAGGGTTTAGGGTTTAAGGCTTAGGGTTTAGGGTTTAGGGCTTAGGGTTTAGAATTTAGGGTTGAAAGCATCGCATCAAGGATTGCGTGAGCTCGCGGGATGTGGTCAGCCCAGGCGAAGCAAGTGAACTCAAAGGCTTCCGAGGAGCCTCTGCGAGCAGTGCAGAACTGCGGAGTGCGCTTCTAAACCCTAAACCCTAAACCCTAAACCCTAAACCCTAAACCCTAAACCCTAAACCCTAAAGGTGTCCACCCAACTGGTGCAAAGTGACGGGCGCTGGAGCTCTGCGCTCCCAATGTGAGCACATTTAGCGGGATGGATGTAAGGCAGTTCCTAAACCTTATGAACCCTAAACCCTAAACCGGTGCTTGTGGGGGGGGGGGGGAGCAAGACATTCTGGCAGGTGAGTAGCCATTCAAGACGATCTACTCGGCCCTTTCTTGAGCTCACCCGCATGAAGTATGCTGGCTTGGTGAGTTCCTAGCCCATCTAAACCCTAAACCTGAAACCCTAGACCTGAAACCCTAAACCCCAAACCCTAAACCCTAAACCCCAAACCCTAAACCCCAAACCCTAAACCCTAAACTAGGGGACCCCCTATATGAGAGAGAGAGGTGAAGCCCGACACCCTGCTGAGTTTAGGCTTTGTGGGGCTTGTGGGGTTCAGGAGCCTGGGGTTGTCTTGCTGTGCCACAACGTTGTCAAGGTCTTAAACCTTATCCTACGGGGTTGCCCTAAACCCTAAACCAGAAACCCTAAACCCTAAACCCTAAGGGGCCCCTCAGTTATAAATTGTTTTATAACCTCTATAAATCAATGTATAACTTCCGACATCATTTGTAAGTTGTTAAGTTCATGGTTGAGTTATAATCATTTATTAAAGATATAAGTTAGTTATAAGTGCTTTGTACCCAACTTATAAGTAACTTGTACATCTTAGCCTAACAAACAAGCAGTGTTTCATCAGATCCATGCATGTGATTGTCAAATGTCGGATTTGCATGTTTTAGGGTCGGAACGATTTGTTTTTTGTTTTTTTGCTGTCTCGAGGAGTTTGCGTCTGGCTTGTGACCCCCTTTACTTCCTTTTTTTGCTCCTTGCCATGGCGACACGCGCGGCCCTTCAAAACTTGACCACTTTGACGAGTTTCTGTCGCGTGACCCGAAGCAGTCCAGAGAACCTCTGCTGACGCGAGCTGGGGAAACGGTTGAACGTTACACAGCCGGACACATCGGGACACATCCCGGATACACCAACGGACACATGGGCCAGAAGAGGGGAACACAGTGAACAACACCGGACACACTCCCACACAATGGGGCGGACAAATTCGGCACACGCCAAAATCGGCATGCGGACACACGCTAAAACCACACCGGGATACACATCTCAAATGCGCATCAGAAGACCCATAGGAGATGGAAATAGGTAAGCGAGCTAAAATTGTTGTATCTTTTATGACCTGCAGCCGGTCTCAGCTAGACAGCTTTCGTTTCTCTGACAACAAATCCCGGCAGCTAACCACAGGCAGAATGGAGGGAACAAGAGTGACTTGGAAGCTGCTTTGGCCGTTGTCGGTTGAAACCTGTTCTTTTAAGACATGGCCTCTGCGTGATGACTGTTTACTACAAAAACAGCATTTTGTAACTAACTTATCAAACTTCTGTATAAGTTAGTTATAAGTGCTTTAAACTACATATATATATATAAGTATCTTAACGTATTTATAACTAAGGGGCCCCACACTGTAGTCTCCCTAGCATTAAGATTCGAAGCCCAGCCCCCAACTCGCAAGCTTAGGGTTTAGGGTTTAGGATTTAGGGTTTAAGGTTTAGGGTTTTGGGTTTCGGGTTGCCTCAAACCTCCTCCTCAGCCTCAACCCCCCAGTACCCCGAATAAATGTCCCAAGCGATCTGAACCCGCAAACCTGCGCCCTAAACTCAACCTTAAGCCGTAAGCGCCCCAAACACCCTAATCCTTAACCACCCCAAGCATTCTCAACACCCCAAACACCCCAAACGCCCTAAACGCCTCAACACCAAAACCCCATCAAGGCGCACTTGGGGTTTAGGGTTTAGGGTTAGGGTTTAGGGTTTAGGGTTTAGGGTTTAGGGTTTAGGTTTCAGGGTTCTAAGCCTCGACCTTGCACGCCGGCCGCAGGAGCTTCCAGCGGAATGCCAGGAATCGTCGCCCAAGGCGGCCGCAGCTTGCATTTAGAGGGAGTTTTGGGGTGTTCTTGGCCGGGGGCGTTAGGGAGGTTAGAGGGTTTAGGGGGTTTTAGGGGGTTTCGGGGTCGTAGGGGATTTAGGGTTTAGGAGGTTGTGGGGGTTTGGGGTTGGGTCAGGTGGCTTTTTGAACTTCCACGTACATAGTTCCTGACTTGTGCGCATGCAATTGGCTGTAAGGTTGGAATTTGCAGGTTCAGCGCTTGGGTTCCTACCGGGTGGGCTCATGCACATACAGCAAAAGCAAATACGGTTTGGCATCATGCCTGGATTTGGGAGAGTTTCAAGGGATGAAGACTCGTACCCCTAAGGTTGTACCCCTAATACCCCAAACCCTAAACCCTACTTCCTAAACCCTAAACCAGGTCATATGGCCCTTATGCTAGCTTAGGGGTCCTAATCCCTAAACCCTAAACCAGGTAATATGGCCCTTCTACTAGCTTAGGGGTCCTAATCCCTAAACCCTAAACCAGGTAATATGGCCCTTATACTAGCTTAGGGGTCCTAATCCCTAAACCCTAAACCAGGCAATATGGCCCTTATACTAGCTTAGGGGTCGTTAAGCAGGTTCCCCCAAAACCTCGGGGTTCGACCTTGGGGGTCCGAGGTACAACCCCTCGAGAGTTGTCTCGGGCAATTTCGGGGGGGTGGCTCAAGGGACTAAAGGAGGGACCCTTGGGACCGTAGGGGTTACTTAGGGGTTATTTGGGGGCTACTTAGGTGTATAGTTCGGGACTATACAAGGTATATGTAGGGCATATTTTGGGGGGAATCAGATGAAGGGTCCAATTCGAAGGTTCCCTCCTTGTGCCCTTAGGGTTTAGGGTTTAGGGGTCAGAGGTTAAGGGTTTAGGGTATCCTTGTTTCGAGGTCGCCGCAGCACCAGTGGAGGAGGCGCCAGACGATGCGCTGGAGGCTTGCTTCTCCAAAGAGGTTGAGGCTTAATCGTATGAACCCTAAACCCTGAACGCTATAGCCCTCTAACCCTATAACCCTAAAGCCCCTAAACCCTTTAGGGTTTAGGGATTGTTTTGCATGGTTCTGCGTGTGGAAGCAATCCATGCAGTCTTGCAATCAGTAAATAAGCCAAGATATTTTTAGTATGTCATCCTAGCCTGGAAGCCCCTGACTGATTGCAGGGCTGGAACTGAAAGGGAAGAGCGTTGCTGCCAGGCGTACATGTGGACTAGAAGCCAGTTTAGTACCTTAAGAACTCTTCAGACTCCTGAAATTAGGGGCATTATAGGGGTCCTTATTATACGGGAATCCTACTACTACACTAGGGGGCCCCTTTTTTTGGTAAACCCCCAATATCTCAGAAGTCAGGTCGAGGCAGATGTTTGCGCCTTTAAGCCACCTTTAAAAGGACCCAGGCGGCAATCAGGCCCTCTTTCCGGCCTGATGACCCCAAACCCGAAAACACGAAAACCCTAAACCCTCTAAGCCCTCTAAGCCCTCGACACCCTCTAAACCCTCTAAACCCTCTAAACCCCAAACCCTAAACCCCGAAACCCCAAAACCCCGAAACCCTAAACCCTAAACCCTCAACCCCAACCCCTAAACCCTAAACCCTAAACCCAAAACCCCGAAACCCTAAACCCTAGACCCTAGACCCTAAACCCTAAACCCTAAACCCCAAACCCTAAACCCTAAACCCTAAACCCCAAACCCTAAATCCTAAACCCCAAACCCTAAACCCATTGGTCCGATCCAGGCTCCCCCGCTCGTGGAGCCCCAGGTGGTGGAGGAGCCAGAGGCCAAGGCCCAGGACTGAGGGGGGTTTAGGGTTTAGGGTTTAGGGTTTAGGGTTTTTGGGTTTAGGGTTTAGGGTTTAGGGTTTTAGGGGTTAGGGGTTAGGGTTTAGGGTTTAGGGTTTAGGGTTTAGGGTTTAGGGTTTAGGGTTTAGGAGTTAGGGGTTAGGGTTTAGGGTTTCGGGTTTAGGGTTTAAGGTTTAGGGTTTAGGGTTTAGGGCTTAATTAGGGTTTAGGATTTAGGGTTTCGGGTTTGGGGTTTAGGGGCGTGGGGGTTTAGGGGTTTAGGGGTTTAGGGGTTTAGGGGTTTAGGGGTTTAGGGGTTTAGGGGTTTAGGGGTGTGCAGCTGAAAGGTGGCTTCATGCTGAAGCAAAACGCAAGGGCATGGGCGAAGGGCTGGGTTCAGGTGGTGTGTTCTTAGACCATTGGACATTCGTCCTATTTGTTTAGTTGAGGTTACGAGTAAGCTATTTGGCTTTCTACTTTTGCAACGTTTGGTGGACTCTTGGCCTGTCCCCAATTGTCAGTTTGGAGCAGTAAGTGGAGGGCAGGTTTTGGACGCTTTGGCGGCAGCGCATTGGCAAACCGGCGCAGAGGCTATGAGGCAGCGGCGTTCAGTGTGGATAAATGCGGATATCCAGAGCGCTTTTGATTCACTAAATCATTCCACTATTGCGCAGTATCTGCAGGAGCATTGTCCACCGCACTTATCCCGTGAAACGCTCCAACTTCTTCGTATAGTGTGCAGCCCTGTCATGAAGTTCTCTTGGAAGGGCACAGACTGGGAAACCTCGCAAGGCCAAGGAGTCCAGCAAGGACACACCCATAGCCTCATAACATTTGCATACATCATCGGCCACTACGTGCAAACTGAGTTCGAGAGGTGGAGGGTTGGGGGTTCTTCCTCCAGCACTGGGGACTGGGGATGCCTGTTTATTGACGACCTCCTGTTACACTTCGATGACTGGCGTACAGCCTCAACCCTAACCCCTTTGTTGCAAAAGGCATTGGCCTCCCTGGGCTTGCGACTGAATTAGGGTTTAGGGTTTAGGGTTTAGGGTTTTAGGGTTTAGGGTTTAGGGTTTAGGGTTTTTGGGTTTAGGGTTTAGGGTTTTTAGGGTTTTTAGGGTTTAGGGTTTAGGGTTTCGGGTTTGGGGTAGGGTTTAGGGTTTAGGGTTTAGGGTTTAGGGTTTAGGGTTTAGGGTTTAGGGTTTAGGGTTTAGGGTTTAGGGTGTAGGGTTTAGGGTTTAGGGTTTAGGGTTTAGGGTTTAGGGTTTAGGGTTTAGGGTTCATAGGGTTATCACGTAAGGACTCGGTGCCCAAAAGCTCTACTGAGTATGTAAAACCGATGCGGCCCGAAACCCAAGCCTTCTACCGCAGAATTCGAATTCCTGACCTCTGAACCCTAAAAACCCCAAACCTCCCAAACGTACACCCGAATGAAGCCTTAAACCCCTGAACCCCTAAACCCTAAACTAAACCCCTGAAACCAAAAAAGCTGACCCTCTGAACCCTAAACCCTTAAGCCCTACACCCCTGAACCCCCTAAACCCCTAAACCCCTAAACCCCCAAGCCCTAAACCCTAAACCTCCAAACCCTAAACCCCTAAACCCCTCAACCCCTAAACCCCTAAACCCCTAAACCCCTAAACCCCTAAACCCCTAAACCCCTAAACCCCTAAACCCCTAAACCCCTAAGCCCCTAAGCCCCCAAGCCCCTAAGCCCCTAAGCCCCTAAGCCCCTAAGCCGAAACCCTAAACCCTAATTAAGCCCTAAACGCTAAGCACTAAACCCTAAACCCTAAACCCTAAACCCCGACCCCTAAACCCCTAAACCCCTAAACCCCTCAACCCCTAAACCCCTAAACCCTTAAACCCCTAAGCCCCTAAGCCGAAACCCTAAACCCTAAACCCTAAACCTAAACCCTAAACCCTAACCCTATACCCTAAACCCTAAACCCTAAACCCTAAACCCTAAACCCTAAACCCTAAACCCTAAACCCTAAACCCTAAACCCTAAACCCTAAACCCTAAACCCTAAACCCTAAACCCTAAACCCTAAACCCTAAACCCTAAACCCTACCCCAAACCCTAAACTAACCCTTCATCCAACCCAAACCCTAAACCCTTAACCCGAAACCCTAAACCCTATTGGACCTTGTGGGTCAATGCATTCAGAGCCTTTCCCTTCAGTAGCCGCTGATCTTTGGGGTTTGCGATTTTTGCTAGCTTCTGGATAGGGGGGGGGGTTAAGGTTTATCAGGGTTTAAGGGGAGTGGGATGTAATGAATTTAGGTTTTGTATACGTAGGGCTTCTAGGGCCAAGCGGAATCGAGCTGCGAAGAATCTTAGCCTTGTGCGATTTAGGCTTACGTGATCGGTTTGCAGAACCTTGCCTGTTGAAGCACCACACTAGACGGTACGCGGGCTACTTTTGTGGTGCATGACAGGAAGAGTCCCAGTAAATACAAACATTGCCTAGGCGTTCCTCTCCTGGTGTGCTGATGACGTTGCTTCCTGTCTTGCAATTGACTTGACATCGCTTTCACCCCGGGTAGGTTCAGAAATATCCCTATGCCTTATTTGTGTTGTTGTCAAAATTATGGTCCCTTTTTGGATCCCTATGATAATACGGCACCTCATATGTAAGGTACCCCCAAAAGGGATCATCATTTTGACAACCACCCATGTATACAGCGGCAAAACATGAAGAATCCCGCAAGCTGCGCCAGGAGAGGTCTGAGCAGGACGAGCTCCAGGCTTTATGGCTCCAGCTTCAGCAGGCCACCAGCACTGACACCCGCATGTTGCTGTGATAGCCCTCAGTATTTTGGGGGCATAGGTTTCAGAGTCTTATGATGGTGATGATGATTCGTAGCAGCTCAGAGGTTCCTTCTCTTTATCATTCTTCTTGAGACGCTCTGCTGCTATGTGATAATTTCCAGCGGGATGTGCAGAACTTGCTTTGATGACTGTCGATTCGAACGTCGGAGCCGTCGTTTCGCGAGGTTGCCCTGACCCTGTAGGCAGTCTTGTGCACTGCCTAAACCCTAAACCCTAAACCCTGAACCCTGAACCCTAAACCCTAAACCCTAAACCCTAAACCCTAGCACTATAAAGCCTCAACCGCAAGCTACCTGAAGGCTCCAGTGTAGTTCTTCTTTGGGTTTGTCATCGGACTAGGAGCACCTCTTCGACCCGTAAACTTTGACGAGCCCGAAACCCTAAACCCTAAACCCTAAACCCCAAACCCCAAACCCTAAACCCTAAACCCTAAACCCTAAACCCTAAACGCTCCCTGCTCCACCCCCATCAACAAAAGCGCAGGGACAGCGGGAATGGCAGCAGAGGCACACAGGCATGGAGGTTCCCCAGCTCCCTCCCAGCGCACAGTGGACCGGGTGTATTGATGGGGTTTATATAGGGTGAGGTTCAGGGTTCAGGGTTTAGGGTTTAGGGTGCAGGGTTTAGGGTTTAGGGTTCAGGGTGGTAGGGCCTTGGGGTGTAAAGGCTATGGCCGTCGTCATGCGCGTCTATGTGGCCGTGTTTGAGGAGTGATTATCGTTGCGATTTGGGTGGTCTCAGGGCAAGAAAGTAATAGTGTTTGGACGGGGTACTACATCAGTCGAATGCTACGCCTGGTAAGCCAAAGCCGGAAATCCCCGAACCCTAAACCCTAAACCTTAAACCCAAAACCCTAAGCCCTAAGCGCTAAACCCTACATTAAAGTAACTCTAAACCCTGAGCGTCATACTCCTCCCAGCATCCCATGTGGCAGAGTTGAGGGCTTAGGGCCCCTACACACTAAACCCAAACCCTAAACCCTAAACTACATAACCATACGGCCGAAGCCCTGAACCCTCCATTCCCTAAAGTCGGCTCTGCGGTTCCAAAGACTTGCCAGCATCCCCGACACCGAAGCCCGAAACCCTGCAAGGGTTGACAGTGCCGACAGGGTTTAGGTTTTAAGGTTTAGGTTTTAAGGTTTAGGGTTTAGGGTTTCGGGTTTAGGGTTTAGGGTTTAGGGTTTAGGGTGTCTGATTCATTTTGTTTTTTCAGGGTTTTGTCTTCGGGCATATAGGATTTAGGGTTGAGAGGGTCTGGCTCTTTGACCCTATGTTCTCCAAGCTTTGAGGGTCTGGCATGTACAGAGTTGGCAGGCCGCTCGGCTTTCTGCAAGTTGCCACCATGGGTTTTGGGGTTTAGTGCTTGATGCGAGATTCGGGTATGATCCGGTTTAGGTTTAGGGTTGAGGGTTGAGGGTTGAGGGTTTAGTGCTTGATTCGAGTTTCGGGTCGTTTCGGACCCAAACACACCTAATGTGGGGCCTGTCATGGTCGCCGCCTCTACGACCGGCAGCATTCTCAGGCAGGGGCACCCGGCCTGGCTTGGAGCGTTTGTATGTGCGTTTAGGTTGTGATACCTTAACGGATTTTGGGGTTGGCTAACCAGTAGCCCTTCATCATGAGGTTCCCTAACCAGTGTCCATCTAGGAGTCCGTCACCCTTTCCTACACCCTAATCCCGAAACCCTAAACCACAAACGTCGTATATGGGGTATACAAGAAGTTCCCAAGTCAGGGCCTATGTACCCTAAACCCTAAAGCCTAAACCCTATAAGCCTTAGGGTTGGAATCATGGGCTGTTAGTATGTGGTCCCTCACCCTTGTTTTGTAGGGATCCGAAGTATGGGCCCTTGTTATGTATAGTGTATATACGGGTTATATAGCAAGGGGCCCTAGTTATGGGCCCATATCTGGAACCTTTCATTCCTGGTGTGTCCTATAGCACCCTGCCTACTTCGAATCTGCTTGAGCTTGTAACGCAGAATGTGTACTTGGGAACCATCTCTCTCTGTCTCTCTCTATATATATATATTGTACATATATATGTATATATATATATATAAATTATCACTTGAACCTTATAACTTATACCTTGCAGGTTCCTCTCGCTTGCAACTTAAGATGCCTCGTAGGTTGTTCCCAGGAACCTTTACCCTAAACCCTGAACCCTAAACCCTAAGCCCTAAGCCCTAAGCCCTAAACCCGAACCCCTAAACCCGAAACTTTTCAGGCGTTATGACAGCGGCGGGTTGCCGGCACGGGCCATTCGCCCGACGAGCTTCGGCCACGCTCGCCGGGATTGCTTTGAAACCCTGGGTCCCCTAAACCCTGGTTTGGGGTTTAGGGTTTAAGTTTTAGGGTTTAGGGTTTAGGGTTTAGGGAAGCCCTAAACCCTAAACCCTAAACAAGGCTTTGGGCCCTACGAACGAGCCACGACACCCGAAGAGGTGCCGCAAATTTCGGTCCTGCTTAGGGTAACCCATCAAAAAACGAGACCTACTCAAAAAGCCTTTTTTTTGTCAAGGTTCCCTTGTAGTACGGTTACTGGGCTACCAAGTCATGTACTTAGTAACTGAGTGAGAACACTTTACACTTTTGGGGGATACTAGAATCTCTACAAAACTAAACGTGTACACTTTTTGGGGGACTTCTGAACTCAGCAACTAAGTGTAGGACTTCTCCCCCCCCCCCCCCCCCCCTCCTCACTTATGGAGGTTCATGTGTAGTTCTGCCGTAGGCTGATCACACCCCCGGCTCTTCAAGACCATAACGCTGACTTTGGCAATCCTGCTCCGGGTTTAGGGTTTAGGGTTTAGGGTTTAGGGTTTAGGGTTTAGGGTTTAGGGTTTAGGGTTAGGCGACACATGGCACGCTTCCTTGGCTCAAGTGATGGGAGTCGAGATGGGGGTAAGACTGGGGGCCGTTGACGGAAGTCTTGCAAGGTCAGCAAGGCAGTCGTTTAGGCTTCAGGGTTTAGGGTTTAGGGTTTAGGGTTTAGGGTTTAGGGTTCAGGTAGGGTTTTTTTAGGGCTTTAGGACAACATCCAGGCACTCTAAAGCCGTAAGAAAAGTCTCCTGGGCATGATCTTGAGCCGCGGGCCGGAGGCCCAGCTTGGCTTAGGGGTTTGGGGTTTGGGGTTTAGGGTTTAGGGTTTAGGGTTTAGGGTTTAGGGTTTGGGGTTTGGGGTTTGGGGTTTGGGGTTTGGGGTTTGGGGTTTGGGGTTTGGGGTTTAGGGTTTGGGGTTTGGGGTTTGGTGTTTAGGGTGTAGTGGGGTTTAGTGTTTAGGGTTGGTTCTCTCCGGCCGTTTCATGCGATACGTGCGGGTGCTTAGAAGTATAGGGTCAGAATAGGGGAAGTATGGCTACAAACCTGCTTAGGGTACCTAGAACCGTACTTACACGTACTCCTGACCCTTCAAGTACGTAAGCTGCTATGGGCTACACCCCAAAGCTCCAAAGCCTACAGGGCTTTGGGTTGAGGGTATAGGCCTCAAGCCCTATGCCCCAATGACAAGACCCTAGACCCTAAACCCCAAACCCTAAACCCCAAACCCTAAACTTGCCAAACGGGCGCCTGGAGGGTTCTGCTTGCCAGCACCACGAGGGTCGCCCCCTCCGGATTCCACGGCTCTTCGGGAATGGATCTCGAGGTCGGAACCCTAAACCCTAAACCCTAAACCCTAAACAGGTTCCATTTGGCTGCCACAGGGCTCTACAGGGTGTTTTAGCGATCCAGGGATCGTGGATCGTGACCTGGTCCAGCTCCGAGAATCGTCTCTTCGATGGGGCGGGCCCTGTCAAAGGCGAGCCCTACAATCTGCGCCAAAGAAGTGAACAGCACCATGGCTACCAGTGGTGCTCTTTTTCCCTGTCTTGGATTAGGGTTTAGGGTTTCGGGTTTATGGTTTAGGGTTATAGGGTTTCGGGTTAAGGGTTTAGGGTCTTTTTCCCTGTCTTGGATATTTCGTAGGTTCCTGCTATACGCCCATTTGCACAAGCCAACGCGTGCCCCCACGACTTCCGTCCTTCCTACGCCGAGGCCTAAGGAAGCCAGCCACCGGGTTTAGGGTTTAGGGTTTGGGTTTAAGGAAGCCAGCCACCGGGTTTAGGGTTTAGGGTTTTGGGTTTAGGGTTTAGGGTTTAGGGTTTAGGGTTTAGGGTTTAGGGTTTAGGGTTTAGGGTTTAGGGCGACGAACCCCCAAGTCCCTTGAGCCTACACCCTGAAGCCCCAAAGCCCTATGTAAGATCTAAACTTTAAATGCCTGTCAAGAAGAAGCCCCCCCCTCCCTCCTTAAGGGGGTAGACTCCTAAACCATAAACCCTAGTCCCTAAACCCTAAACCCCTAAACCCCTAAACCCCAAACCCCAAACCCCAAACCCCAAACCCCAAACCCCAAACCCCAAACCCCAAACTCCAAACTCCAAACTCCAAACCCCAGACCCCAAACCAACCCAAACCCCAAACCCCAAACCCCAAACCCCAAACCCCAAACCCCAAACCCCAAACCCCAAACCCCAAACCCCAAACCCCAAACCCCAAAACCAAGCCAAACCTCCAACACCTCCAGAACCACCGACCAGCATTATGAACCCCACCAGCCCAGTGAACCCTAAGCCCTCAAACCAGTTCATTGAGCCTACAAGCCAGATGAGCCCGAAGCTTTTCGGCTCTCACACTCGGCCCCTAAAGACGTAGAAGTGTCGAGCCTAATCCGACGGTTGATGGCTTGGGTTTGGGGTTTAGGGTTTAGGGTTTCTATATGATGCCGCAGGACTCGGGGTAAGTCCGAAAGCCAGGTGAATAGCACCGAACCCAAAACCCGATACCTGAAACCGACCCCAAACCCTCAGCTCTAAACCCTAAACCCTAACCCTGATCTTCCAGGTGAATAGCCCCCTCGATGGACATTGCGGTTCGCTCAGCAAGAAGACACATGATGTTGCACTGTTGCTTATCGTTGGGGGTCGGGGGTCGGAGGGGTTAGGGAATCTAGGATGCCCAGTAGTACCCTTATTCCCTTTTTGGTAGGTTTAGGTTCCCTTATAAACCCCTTTAAGCAAAAAAGGGCACCCTTTTTCATCCTAGGTTACTGGGCAACCTAGGAATACAGCCTTAAGCCACGTAAATCAGCAAATCAGCATGCAAGCTTGGGTTCACAGTTGAGCCTCTAGACTCGCAGGATCTGTACGCCACGAACCCCCCGGCAGCGAAACCCCCCACCCGCCCCCCACATGTGCGAGGGTTTGCTAGAGTTTCGGGCCCTAAGCCCTGAACCCTAAACCTTAAACCCTAAACCCTAAACCTTAAACCCTAAACCCTAATCCCTAAACCCTAAACCCTAAACCCTAAACTGCTGGTGGCAAGCGGCAAAGCTGCGGCCCCCGCAACGTTGGAATTGAGGGCTCAGGTTCGGATGTTCCCCCTTATACTCACAGTCCTTAATAGGGCCTAGAACAGGGGTTTAGGGTTTCGGGTTTAGGGTTTAGGGTTTAGGGGTACTATAATCCCTAGTAAGGACTGTTCATATAAGGGACAACGTTGCTGGTCAGGGTTTATCGGGCTTTCCGGCCTTCAAGTTTTGTTTTTGCAGCGAGGCCTTTGGCACCAGGAGATCAGAGACGACATCATGCAAGGCGTGATGTGGTGAAACCCTAAACCCGAAACCCTAGACCCTAGACCCTAAACCCTAAACCCTAAACCCTAAACCCTAAAC